ACGACACTTCCTGTTTCCTTTGCTTAAATATGAGTCTCCTTGCTATGTCACTTCCTGCCTGGATCAGCACTTCTCTACTACATTTCCCAGAATCCTCTTTGACTCCTAGTCCTGTCTAACTTGCTGTCTCTTTGGCCAAACAGTATTTCATTCAATAATCAATAAGATAAACATACAAAGTAGTACATTCCCCATCATATTGTGTCTGAGCATTTGGAGAGGTAAGACCTCCAATTGCTGGCTGCTCTGTTTCTCTGATCTTTCATCTTTCTCCCCCTAATATCTGACTCCAGATTTTTATTTAATAAGACTAATTAGGACTTCGTTACAAAAAGGTACTAGATTTCATAGGCACAGGGGAGGAGGAACTGGAAATGTAGCTCAGTGGTTAAAAGCGCCTGTGCTCATGCAGAGGACCAGGGTTGGGCTCCAAGCACCATCTACTTTACAACCATCCATAACTCCAGTTCTACCATGGGATCCTATACCCTCTTCTGACCTCTATAGGCACCAGGCATGCCTGTGATGCATATTCATACATGCAGACAAAACTCAAATACACACAAATAAGTTAAGTCTAGAAAAAAGAAGACAAGCAGAGGAAGGATAGCTGGAATGTAAAGGTTCGTGTTGTTTTTAAATCCTGTCATCCTTAATTATAGATTGGTAGAGTCACTAAGAAATGATTTTTTGTTTCTTCTTTTAGGGCTGGCATGTACATACACCTCAGGGGATTTAATCTCCAGTACCACCAAAAAGTCTTAAAATGCAGCTAAAATTCAAGTACATGGAACAAATCAACTATCTCTTTCAAAGAGTTTCCACTATTAACTAGGAAAATCTTACAGGGTAACAAACATAAAATGTATCAAATCAAACAAGATCCTACTTGGAACTATGCCCTGCTGCCATATACTGCATCTTCATTAAGGGTGACCTGTCCTGGAATCACACTATAGAGACTGAAAAGGCAGCAACAAAATTAGAGGCGATCACAGTTTACCTCTCACACACACTATAGAGACTGAAAAGGCAGCAACAAAATTAGAGGCGATCACAGTCTACCTCTCACAATCTCTAACATTCTAACTGTCCCAATCTCTTTCTCCCTCTTCCTTTGTAGAGAGATGAGGTCATACTATGTCCTCAGCTAGGGATGGGAGGCTTGTAAGTCACTTCCCCTGAGTTGTTAACTTTTAAAACTGTTAGATTTAAGAATTTTGTTTGTTCTATAAGTACGTTCATAATTTTGGCAATGAACGTAATGGTATAACCTATGACATTCTATGTTTTTGTGAGAAGCTGAACTTCCAACCTAAGGCACCAAACACATCAAAATCAGACTTTCCATGAGATGGTGACAGTGAGTCACAGGGGAACCGACAGCAAACTGAAGGACTAACTCACAGGACCATTCCAAAGGAGAAGCCAGCTTGGGTTTCTTTCTTCTTTAATAACTCTAGCTATCATTCAAGGAATCGTATATTATACACGCACATACACCTAACAATTCCCTTGCCACAACTTAATTTCTAATTTATAAAAATCTACCCTGAAACTGTCAAGCTGGCAAGGGTTAGCAGGAAATAGTAGTGAGAATCCAGCAATATTTTTAAAAGGTTTTTCTATTATGTGTGAAAACATTACTATCACTAGGAACAAATAAGGACATGAATTACCAGTGACTATTATTTCTACCTTAGAAAGGAAGAAGCTAATGAATGTCAAATCAGGCACCCATGCAGCATCATCTCTTTTATCTGAACACTTGGATAATTGCATGACCTCTATGGGTGGGGCAGAGGGAGAATCTACACTAGCAAGAAACGAGAACTATATAGTACAATGACCCAAGGAGACAACAGCAGCAAAGAGAAAGTGCTGATGTGTTATTATGTCTACATTTATCCGTTTGTTTGTTTGTTTGTTTGTTTGGGAGGGAAGAGAGCATGTGCCCCTTCAAGTATCTCGAGATTAGAAAACAGCAGAGGGAGTTCTCTCCTTCCACCATGTGGGCTCCAGGATTGCACTTAGGTCCTCGAGTCCTTAGACTTGACAGTAGGTGCCCTCACTGTGCCAGCTCACTAATACATAAATAATGACTTACAACTATATTGTCTTATATTTTCAAATGCTTTCACATTCACTATCTAATCTGAAGATCATTTATCTTCAAGGCAACCCCAAAGAGTAATGCTTATGTATATTAAATGACAAATACAGTACACGTCTGGTACATGATAGTGACCAACTAACTGTCTATTATTGTGTTACATATAAACTTCAAAGGTCACAGTAGGGGGAAAGCTGAAAACCATTTGAGAAAAATGAGTCAGGTGGTGCCAAAGAACGAAGAGTCATGACAAGGAAAAAGAGACGGAAAGAAAGTCAGAGCAGTCATGAGGAAGACCAGATAATAAACAGTCACAGGACTAATCACAAAGCTCCAAGTGGGGACAAAAGAAAAACAGCATACAGTACATCCAGCCTATCAGTCATCCTGGACAGTCATCCCGGACAGGCTGATCATTAAACCTGACAGACATCCTCAGTACCAAGTGCCAGCATCAGCAGCAAAGGTCACACACACCTCTAATTTTCCATGCTATGAAACCTATTCCAGGCCACTAAAATATCACCACACAAGTCTATTTGCTTTTTCTATTTGTTTCAACCTTCAAAACATGAGCATAAGAATTTATGTCCTTGAGTGCAATGGTGAGCGGTTTTTATTCGGGCCAATTTAATAAAATGAAGAAGCTATTAAAATACACCTAAGATCATGTCAAGTCAGTCTTCCTAATTAGCTCTTCTATGGAAGAAACGATTAGCCTAACTTGGTGCTCTGCCAAGAATATAGAGTACACCAAGAACATCCAACATTTTATGAAAGACCTGAGTATGTTTCATTAAAAAGCATTAAAACTGTGCTGCAACTTAAAATGCTGGCAACTGGAGGTTGCTTCTTAGCATCTGAACACAGAATATCCACAAGGTAGATCATGTGATCCACAATCTTAGTGCGGAACTACCGTCCACACAGATAAAACAATAAGTAACATGGAAGGCTTTCCCCCATTCTCTTTTACTTTTCCAAGGCAGGGTGTTGCTAGGTAACTCGGATCTGAACTTACTGTCCTCTTGGCTCACCTTCCTAGTATGTGGACTAATTACAGTCCTTCTGTCACCTAGGCTTTATGATTTATATTTTAAGCCAATAATTCAATTTTACTCCAAGTTCCAAAACTCGTGCCAATATTTCTCATCACTGAGTATTTAAGACATAAATGTTTTTGCATCATACCTTAGAACCGGAAGGAAAACAGAGAGACTTAATGGATCTTAGGATGAAAACAGGGTGATTTAGGCTTTAGTGAATATTGAATAAAGCTCATTAATGCAGTAAGATTTTTACTTATGTTTATACTAAACAGTTTTTTTAAAAAAACTTAAGGTTACTATTAACTAAAAGGCACGCTGTACCATGTACTGTTTTGAAAGCACAACAGCAAAAGAGTACTTATCACAGAGCTCACAGTGTAAATAAAAACCAGCCATGGAGATTCTGATGCCAAAACCTATTAATCTATTTAACACAAAAATACTTGATTGATCATTTCTTACAGTGTTTTCCTTTGAAGCACTGAAAATGAATACCAGAGTATAACATTTCTAAATTTATACTTAGAAATATATGTGCCAAGGTAGTTAGTTTGAAACTGCATATGAACTCAATCACAAATCCACAGGCATAAGGAACAAGCCCTAAAGTGTTTTCCATCAGAAGTGCCCTTTTCTAACAGACATCTGATAAGTCTCTAAAGTCATCTGAGTGATTATTTCTAGCTGTGTCACAAATTTAGGGGAAAACAGGATAATGCTAAGAGATACATTCTATACTATATTTGGATTTAGGAAAGTACTCTTAGCTTTCCCAGAAATTCAATCTTAAAACTGATACATAAATTAAATAAATAAATAAATGTTGGTTGACATACAGCTTCAAACCCCACCTTCTAACAGAGGGATCCAACCATACCAGTTAAAAAGCCCTGTCCTTAACATTGAGAATCACATGTTTGATACAATCTAACTACCTTTGGCTACAATCATGTCACAAAGTTGGGCATATGAGCACTATCATGGTATTTTCCTTAAGGTGACCTATGTGCATTTTAAATATATGCACTATATTTGCCATAATTACCATTATATAGTATATACATTGGCTATAGTTAGCACCACCATCCCCTATGGTTTCCTACCCTACTATTTACCAAAGAAACACAGAAATCTCTGACAAAAACTAGTCATCCACCACCATACAAATTAGCCCACTATCACAGGAGAAGCAGAGACCTCTTCCTGACCCCAGTGCTTCACGGCTACTCTGAAAGCCTACACCTTGGACTCATCTGTGCCTAAGGAATCCAAGTAAGCTGGTTCTTGAGACAGACTAAAACTGATAGCATTTATATGAATTAGCGTGTGTTCAGTTGATAGTCTCTTGGGAAGTGAAGTCGGGCTATGAGTTAAGTCTTGCCTCTGCTTTTGAGTTAGCAACTTACAAGGGGCTTGACTGACCTCAACACCAGGCTTAGATCATGAAGAAACAGAAAGGTCTGAAGCATGGTTCTTTCCTTGGATTTAAAGTATTAGCTTTGGTTGTAAATTGTGACACTTTACTATCCTACTTTACTATTTTATCCTAAGGCAACCTGGAAATGCATCAAGATGTGCCCAGCTCTCACATCTCACTGAGACAGAGTAACAAGGTAAAGCAGAGTAGGTAACACACACAATGACAGTTTTCAGACACTAGATATTAGACAGAAAATCAGTGCAGGATGGTGGAATCTCAGAAAAAGGAAATGAGGCAGATCCTATGAGAAGCCTGAAAAGAATTCCCACGCCATAGCACAGGAGGGAGAATTAAACTCGGGCAGTTTAATTAAGGAGGCCAACAGGAGTCCGGTGCAACTCGCCACTGGGCTGCACCACCAGGCAGGGAGGGGCTGCAGCGCTTTAGAAGACACCTAATGACATAGAAAGAGAGGAGGGTGTGCCTTCCTTTGATCGTTCCATCCTGAAGCTCTCCTTTCTTGAGTCTGCTAGAAAGAAGCTCTGTGAGTGCCCCCTCTTTCCAAACACCATGTTCAAAGGCTCCACTTATCACACCTACAGCGTCTTGCCTACTGTGCGGGGGTCACAAGCAGGGTCTGACCTCTGTACCAAAGGTGACCTCCTGCCCCAGTGTCCCACCTTCCCGGAGCCCAATGGCTTCACTCATTTCTTGTGCACACACACAGGGAAAGCTTCTTTGTTCTGCCATCTAGGTAAAAGCATGAAAAGCTTTCAGGCCAATCACTCCTATTAAAGTGAATAAAGGGAGGAAAGCCAGTAAAGAAGGGAGGAGGGGCTCTTCTTTTGCAAGGTCCACTGATTCTTCAGGTCTGATACCCTTTGGGTGCCAACTGTCACTGGGCCAATGCTAGCTAAGGCGGCAGCTCCCTGGTTGTGCCATCTTAGCAGCTGCTGCAATGGCCCAGAACACGAAGTGCAGACTCTTTAGACTTTGCCACCATTCCTCCCCAGACCACCACTGATAGCCCAAGGGAAGTGGCCTAGCATCCCCAGGCCAGGGCTCTCTCCCCTGTGGACCAAAGCCTACTCAGGTTCAAGGGTCTCTGAGACTCATCTGTGGCAAAGTTCTGTTCTGATATCAATGTAGTTGCTCCTGTTCACATAGTTTGACCTGAAGTTGTTTTGAGGCTACTCAAGCATTGCCCCTTCCTTCAAAACTCAGGCTGAAAGTTTTCTCCCAGGGCTGGCAACTGCTGAAAGCCAATCATCCTAATACTTGACTCAGACCAAAGGGCCTTTTTGCAAAGTGTCACTTATTCCCAGGCTACTCCTTTTCTGGGGGAGACCTCACCTGTCACCATCCTGTGAAGAACTACATCTCTAAGGTGTTTTGGGTGTCCCTGGGTGTGCAGGTGGCCTTGTGTGGCTGCTGCAGCTGTCACAGCTACCCTCCTGCCTGCTTACCTAGTCCCTCATTTGTTAGCATTGGAAGCAAGCAGAGGCTGAGGCCCAGCTCCAGGATGAGAGCAGCTGCCTTCCCTAATGTCACAATGCTCCCACTTCCTGTGTCTTCTGCTGTCCTCACCAGGTCTCTATCCCTCTAGTCTGTATCTGGAGAAGACTGGCCCCAGATGGGTTTCTCAGACTCCAAGTCTGTTTAAACTAGTGTGTAAAAAAGGCTGTATCATATGGAACTTGAACTTTGCATAAATAAATATTTGTGAATGCTAAATAAAAGATTATTTAGTCAAAAAAAGGGGGGGGATGAGGGGAAAGTCAGAGTTGGGAATTGGAGGAAACCATGGCAGTTAGTGTGAAATAAGAGTAGGGAAGACACAGCTGCAGGAGGAGCAGAAGGCCAATGGTGTGGCTATGGAGAATGAGACGAGCATTCAAGACACAGGTGTAACCTTAGCTTCAGTTCCTGAACCTTAGCTTCAGTTCCTTACTCAGAACTTGTAACACACAGGACACCAAAAGCAACCTCAAAAGGATCAAACTGTTTCTAGATAACTTCAACATGTCCCAAATGCAGCTTAAGAATATTTATAAAAATATGGAAATATACAATATGTAACAGAACACAACTCACAATATCTGGCTTCCAATTAAAAATCATCTGGCTAATTATAGGTCTGAGGACAGATCTGGCACTAGGGAGATTTCCAGAGATCTACAAGGATGACACGAACTGACAATCTAGGCAATGGTGGAGAGGATAACCTAAATGCCCTTCCCCTATAATGAGACTGATGACTACTTTATATGCCATCCTAGAGCCCTCATCCAGTGGCTGATGGAAGCAGATGCAGACACCCACAGATATACACTGAACCGAAGAGGCCAGGACAGGACTGATCCAGACCCCTGAACATGGATGTCAATGAGGAGGCCTCCGCACACTAGGGGGCTCCTGGTAGTGGATTAGTATTTTTCCCTGGTAAGAAGGGACTTTGAATCCACGCCTGGCGTTGGTGGCGCATAACTTTAATCCCAGTACTCAGGAGGCAGAGGCAGGGGGATCTCTGTGAGTTCGAGACCAGCCTGGTCTACAAGAGCTAGTTCCAGGATAGGCTCCAAAGCCACAGAGAAACCCTGTCTCAAAAAACAAACAAACAAACAAAATGGGGGGGGGGGACTTTGAGGGCCCATCCCACTTTCCAAGAGTGAAGGGAGAAGGGATGCACCCCTGCACTCTTGGCCTGGACACATGGGGGAAGGCCTAGCCTGACCCACGATGATGGGCTGGACTCTGGGGAGCCCCATCAAGGAACCTACCCTGCCTGGGGAGTGGAGGGTGGATGAGGTGGGAGGCTGGGGAGGAGGCTTGGGAGGGAGGGAAGGGGGAAGGGATTGGCATGTGAAGCAAGCTTGTTCCTAATCTGAACTAAAAAAAATAAAATGTATAATAAAAAAACAAAGAAAAAAATCATCTGGCTAATTTGTACAGAGGTAGTAAAGTCTTGGCCATAATAAATAGGAATGCAAATCAATAAAAAGTAACTCAGAAATAATAGGGATCACAGGATTTAATAAACAAGGGTATCAAAAGAAATACAACAAAGTTCCATTTGTTCAAGAAACTACAGGAAAGCAAGCACATCTTAAAAGCAAATAACTTATTAAATATCCAAACTGAACTTTTAGAATTGGAAGAGAGGGGTGTGTGTGTGTGTGTGTGTGTGTGTGTGTGTGTGTGTGTGTGTGTACGTATGTGTGTGTGTGTGTGTGTGCATGCATGCGCACCAGCACACTCAAGCGCGCACTACCTGGGGTTAAAGACAATATACAGTAGAGAAATAGGAATTACTGAATGGAAGACAATGTTAAAAGTATTTAAAAGAACAAGTCTGGGGAAATGAACAGACATTACTGAGCGCTGACAAGTCCATTCAGCCTAATATACAAATGAGCTTCTGAAGGAGGGGAAATAACACAGGAAAACAATTTGAAGAAAAATAGTCCAATATTCATACATAATAATAACTATAAGTACACAGGTCCAAGAAAGTCCAACAAACCCCAAGGGTTTTAGTCAACTTTGCATCATTGTGAAAATATATCAGAGAAACAAACTCAAAGAAAGGATTATCTTGGTTAAGGATTACCTTGAAACTCAGTCAACACTTCGAGGCACACACTAACCCCACCCTCACTCCAATGAGCTTGAGGTCCTAGTTCTCACCACCTCCCAATACCTCCATCAAATCTGAAACCATCAATGGACTATCCAATGAACTCATGAGCTAATCACTCCCCAGAAGCTGTACCTTTAAGCACAGCCCAAGCTCAACACGTGGGCTCTGGGAGAACATTTCATACCTGACCCACAAGAAGCAACAGCAAGGGCCATTATAATCAAATCACTTATGATCTATGGAAAAACCATAAAAGCCAACAAGAGAAAGAGATGTATCACATATAGTGGAACAAAGACACAAATCATAGCAGAGACTGTGGAGCCAAAATCTTCAAAGCTCTGACAAAAAATATTAATGTTGACTTCTATATTCAGCAAAAAAAAATTTCAAACATCAAGGCAAATAAATGCTTTTACAGACATTCAAAAATGAAAAGAATTCACACCAGATTTTTTTAGTGTAAGTAATGATATAAAAATCTTACAGGATGAAAGAAAAATGAAAATCTGCATGAACACAAAGGAATCAGGAACACTGAAATGGTAAATAAAATACACAAGTAAAACATAAAAGGCTTAAAGAATGTTTTGCATGTCCTTAAAAGATAATTGGCTACTTAACGCAAAAATAATAATGTACTGCAGATGTATAACAATTATAACAAAATTTATGGTACATATTATACCATAATTCATAAAGAAACCATATTCACATGTGCAAAGCGCTGCTGGTGGCTCATCCAATGAGAAAAAAAAAAGGGCAAAGAAAAAAAAAAGAGACCTGCTTTCAGTCTAAAAAACAGAAAAAGTAAAAGAACAGATGGAACAAAGAAACCAAAGGCAACTCGGAGATTTAAAGCCAATGACATTGAGAATTACACAAAAAGTAAACACTTTAGACATTCCATTTACAGAGATTGTAAAATTAGATGCAAGATTCAACTCCATGCTGACTACAAGCAATCTTTAGTAGCTGAATTGTCTCAATGGGCAAAGTGCTTACTGAGAAGGCATGAATACCTGAGTCTGAATCCCAGTACCCACATAAAAGCTGGGTGTAGCCACAGACATCTGAATTGCCCAGCACTGGCTGGGAAGGGACACAGATGGCCAGGGCTCACTGATTAGATAGTCTAGCAGAAACACAAAACTACAAGTTCAGTGAGACAACCCGTGATGTGTGACACTGGTTTTCAACATGACCGCATCTGGATTCAGCTAAAACCTAAGCAGCTGAGGACAACTGAGGAGTTTTTCTTGATTGGCTCATTTGTGGTCCAAAGACCAACCGTAAATCTGGGCCACACCTTTTAGTGGCAGCCCACATGAAAGGACATGAAGAAGAAAGCTTCTACTTTTTCATGGCTGCTTACCTGCACTCTACAGGCAAGTTCATTTATCCTGCTGCTGAGGCATTCCTTCGATGGGATCAGAATCTACTTTTGTTTAGGATTCCAACATATTCTGAAGAGCAGCTGAGACATCCAGCCTCATGAACTGAACAACTTTTGGATTCGTGTCTTTTCCATCAGAAGACAGACATTGTTGGACTAGGCAGACCACAGCCTGAAAGCCACTCTAATGGCTTTAAAACATACATATACATGTGTTATACATACATATGTATTATTACATATAAAACATATACAAATGCACACACATACTCTGTCAGTTCTGTTCCTCTAGAGAACCCTGACTGCTACAGACCCTGTCTCTAAAACTAAGGTGAAGGCACAGGGAGATGGTTCAAGCAAGACTAGAGTTCACATCACCAGAACCCACTGAAATCCTGGGTAGACAA